GTTTGAACTCTTACTGGCAACCGTAAGTTTTGGCAGGAAAATGTTTTGATTTGTTTAGTTGTTTCAAAAAATAAAATAAAGATGAATTTAACGTCTTTAATGCCATATTCTAAACAAATATCATATAAACTGGGTTTATAAGCCTTTTTTTCTGCGGGTGGGGGTTACCGAAAAAGTAGTTCTAAAGCAATTGTTAAACATGCTTTTCCGTAAACAATATTCGGTGACGAATCCAAATCTAAAGGAATATTGTCATATTTTAAATTAGCTTTGATAATCTAATTAACAATCGCCGTTTTGATTGTTATTTTCGTGCATCCGAACGACTGTCCACTTTTCATCGACTTCAGTAGCATGCTCTATTTCAAGCATAGAGCCTGACACGCAGGCTATTCAAAATTCTAAACCTTAAAACTCTAAGCGTGAAAAGGGCAATGCGAACACGCAGTGTTTGCTTTATTTAGTCAGAAAGACTGAATTGTCATAATTGCATACAGCTAATATTTACGATGGAGAGCGTTCCCATCGCACTTTTCGCGCTTAGGTTTAAGGTTTAGAGTTTGGAAGGACAACCTTTTTTGAATCAGCTGTATATTCTTATCCATTTTAAGATCAAAATAAAATCAGAAAATTACCATTTCTTCTCGGGAATTGGCCGCGGCACGGTGTTTATCCGGCATGGATAATCAGGTGTACCAGCCATGTTACGACCCAGGACAGTACCAACAAGATTTAACGGAAGAATAACAAACAAACATATAGCTGCGACCGAGAGCTAGATAAAACATACAATTAATATTAACTAACTTCTACAGTGATGCTTGTGATGTTACTCGGAGTGTATATCCACACCGGGCAGGCTTGAAAAATATGCCTGGCCACGGTGGGAATCGAACCTACGACCTAAAGTTGGAATACTAGCCCCCTAACTTCTACAGTACAAAAAAACTTCGATAATACAACCACATTTTACTAAGATCCTAATACAGAGGAAACAAATTGAAATTCCAATAACATTTACTTACCATGGACGTGAAAGGAATCGCCCTTGATGCACGGTAATAAATAGCAACAAAATTTATCAAGAACGCTGTTCCACAAATCATTGAAGGGAATAATGCAGTACTGAAAAGCATTTGTTTTATCCATCCTTTACCTAAAAATATTCATTCAAGTATAAAGAGCTAAATAAAGTATCCACAGTAGTTTAGACTTCACTTTTAATAATGGCATGTAATTTACACTCCAGGGGCCTGTTGCATATAAAACACGAAACTACGTTTTATAATAACAGCCCGTTTCGTAGTTCACTATAAAATGCACGATTCCGATTGCTTAACTTTTCCACAACTTTTCCACACTTTTTTATACAACCGGCCCCAATGTTTTTTTCCAATTATAGCCTTTCTCACGATGACGAACATCCGCCATTTTTGGATGGCATCTAATTCTCATTAACCAATGCAGACAATTAAAAGAACCTAATTTTGAAAATAAACTAACTATTTACAAAGCAAATTTAACATCATTCGTCCAAAAAATTATGTGGACTTTTCGTCCAAAAAATTATGTGGGCTGTTATGTGGACTTTTCTCGCAGACTTCGGCTGAAATGCCACCCAAAAATGGCGGCGTGAGAAAGGCTAATTCTGTACACTTTGTACTTGCTTCATAAAAGACACTGGTATTTGGAATTTTCGGTGCAATGAGACTGTTCTACAGTAATTTCGTTTTCAAGGATGGAATGTTAAAGGTGAATTAGATGATTATTTAGACAATGAAAGGTACTTTTTGTTTAACGAGAATAGAAAGTAAAAATTCAAAGCTATCAATATCTGTACGCTAAACGTTTAGAGTCTGCAGACTCATTGATGGGCGTTAAAAATATGGGCGCTGTAGTCACTGATCTCATAGTCCATGAGATTAGTGGCAAAAATATCATGAATGGAAAACGAAGCAAAAGTTTCGTCATCAACACACATTGGTATCATTCGTAGTAAATTCCTACCACTTTGCCTGGAATATAATGATCCTCCAAAGTATCCATTCACCGGAGCTGTGGCGGCATAAACAAATATGGAGGTCGTCAATATCGATCCACGTCTGTAAGAAAAAATAAGGATTAGAAAAAAGTTGTGGAGGTATAGTCACGGATTTTCGAGTTGCCAGCCGTGCAGTAACTCCAGACCAGTTACTCCAGCCAGTACATGTACCTTCACTACACCCACACGATTTTTGGAGTTGGCCTGTACCTTCGAGATTCTGGCCAGTTAATCGCATAAATGCTCGATTCAGTATGACGTTAATGCGACAATTTTCTGTGCAGGCCTTAAAATATCTTTTACAGAGGGCCGTCTGACAAAATGTCCGATGACGTCGAGTTTGGGTCGGACATATGTCCGATGACCTTCAGTTCAGTTTTGACTCGGAAATAAGTCTGAATGACACAAATGAATATCAGCACAATGTATTAATTCTAAACAGTAAATATTGTAAAAATAGTAAATAATTTGTTTCTTTCATACTTATTTCCAAGCCCGCGCTCGACTACGTTAAAACAACATTTCCATGCAGTTCACCTTTTATACAACAGTACTCTGATTTTCCATTTAACATACAACCCTCTAGCCCTGGGTTAGGGTACATTTTGATTTACGTCGGACAAAGCTACAGTTCGGTCTGACACCAATACACTCAGGTCGGACAAACAATAAACCTCAGTTTCACTTTGGTCGGACAGAATGTCCGGTGGTTTCCTCTAGGGATGACCCGATTAATTGGTAAATAATCGGCCGTTTTCTAAATAATCGGTAATCGGCCGATTATTGCCTGATAATCGGCCATAAGACTTTTTCTGCAGCTGCCAATCACATGCTAAAATACTGAATACAACCTGTGTCTTTTGTCTCAAGCAAAGTGAAGCTGGGAACATTTCCACTAAAAAAACGCAGCAGACTAGCTCCGCATGGCTGACAATGTCTTGTTTTTACACCATAATCTGCCAAAACTAAACTTTGACTATTGACATGCGAGACTGAAGCTGTTTTTAATTATACAAAGTGTGTATTGTAAACAATAAAACCGCATTTACAACTTCATTGTTGGTCATCTTGTGATTTTTCGCTTGCTTTTTAAAATAATCGGTGGGTATCGATTAATCGGCCGATTAGTTACAATAATCGGCTTATAAATAATCGGCCTCAGTAATCGGCAATTTTCCTTATCGGCTCATCCCTAGTTTCCTCTATACGTCGGACAATTTCACGAATGAGTCGGACAATGTCCGTGACCGACCGATAATTTAAGGCCTGAGTCTGTGTCGAACCAAGGAACATGTCATCAGAGACAAATAGTGTGAAATGGTTACATACTCTGTGTAAAGATCACCAATGATAGACATAACGATGACAAGAAATCCAACAACAGCCAGTTGATAACCAGAGCCAACCAGAGAGGAGAACAATAATGGGTAGGATGCTGAACGGAAAACATCACCATGCACTTGTTTCCAACCATATTCATCTCCCAAATCACGTTCCTGTTGAAGAAATACATGCAGTCTACTCAACAAACAACATAATCAGGGCGTTAGCCAGAAGTAAAAAAAAATCCGCGTTTACCTGAAATTGGGAAATTTATTTTAAAATTTTTTCTCGGAAAAATTTTTTTTGGGCGACGGCAAGATGGACGGCAAGATACGGTACTGGTTTATTGTCAGATCTTGTGAAAAAAATAATTCAATTTTTATGCTATTTTTTGGCTGACCCAAATTGGGAAATTGCGACCTCAAGGTAATTGGGAAAACCGCGTTTAACGCGGAATTTTTGACTGTAGCTAACACCCTGATAATGGCACATTGTCCCTACCAGTACTGCTTTGTTTTTACTGTGAAATGCATCATAATAGATAGTATATGTGAATACAATTAGAATGTACGCATTTCGGATTTCCCACGGGGTTGGATGAAATTGGAACTGAACTTAAAAATTCGTCCGGTTCCACATGTTCACACGGAACTGGATTAATCACGAGACGGTTCCGAATTCATCTGACAACGGGGCGTTAACGAGTACACGAAGACGTTATTTACACAGGGGGTCCAATAAAGTGCACTTGCTCCAAACCATTGCCGCTAAAGTACACTTTCCAGGAGACATATGATACAAAGATACTTCATGTTATCATATAGTATATCCATGGTGTTCTTCAACACGAAATTGGACAGGAAACGTATCATGCATGGATATTATTGACTTCTATGGTCTGGTAAAGCAATGGAATGTTTATTTATACATTCGGTAAACCGAAAAAACCGATGTTTTTTGAAAACCGAAATACTCGATGTTACTTTTGGAGAAAAACCGAAAAAAACGAGGAAAAATCGGTATTTTACTAAAATCGAACCATACTTATACGAGTTTGTTGCAAATGAATCAAGTTTTGGCATTTACACTGTACACACGAAAACGTAAAGAGATTTTGTTTGAAATTTGATAACGTCTTCAAAATACCTTACGTTTTATATCTTGCGTGAGTACTGAGTAGCGTGTTGTGTCTTTTTTTACCGTAGTTTCGATTTTCGAACGTATTTTTATAAAAACCCAGTTCACTTTTTTGGGGGGGGGGGGGGTTTGGTCAGTTTTCGGTTTTTTGTAGAAACCGCCTCACGCTAATTTATACACCATCTGATCTGGTAAACACCAATTGTACACCAGATCATGCATGGGACTAAATTACAAAATGCCAGATAGACTAACATCACAGTTACGTACCATATCATCTAAATCATCTTCTTTACTGTATCGAGCGTAATCTTTTCTCAAAGTACGCATTAAGATCATACTGACTAAACCAACCAGGAAGATAACCATCATAAATGAATTAAAGATTGAAAACCAATGGATCTAAAAACACATAAATATTCAAAACCAGAGCAAATTACAACGTTTGGTAAACTACCCATTTAGAAAATACATACTAATACCATTCCTAGTGCCTTATTAAAACCTTTAGTGATTAAATACAATGAAGTAAACTTTATCTTACTCTGTGTTGAAAGAAATTTGGATCAAGGTACTTGTCATATCGCTTGCTGAAAAGAGTAGTCGAAGGCTTCCATGTCACCTGGTATTGAAGAATGAACAATTTAATGAAAATGAACTGAAGCTGTACATTACTTTTATGGTTATCTCAAACACAATGTGAATGTTGTGTGCTCTTAAGTCTGAGTTTCTATTTAGTCGCAACTGTCGTGGACATGTCAAGGTAGTCGATATAATACGAGACAGATTTGGATACATGTACTGTACGGGCCAGTACAACACACATAAAAATGCAAATTATGCATCCAGACTACATACTGGTGTATATTTCACATCTGCTGGTTGTGGTGTTGAACTCAAGTGTTGCTGTTGTCTTACTCTGAGAGTGTCCTCTCCGGGCAAGCTGAAAAGTAACTTGCCCGCGGTGGAAATCGAACCCGCGACATTTAGCTTGGTAGTTCAACGCTCTACCAACTGAGCTACGAGGTCAAGTCGGTTCGAGTAGGTGATATTTTGGAACTCATTCTAGTTCCTTCAATGTCTATTAGGATGTTAGGGTTTAATATTAATTCCACCAAGTTGTTAGGGTCTAATATTAATTCCACCAAGTGAAGTGCAAGAATCTAAGTCATTCAAGTCCACCTTCAATGTCTATATTTCACATCGTCGAACATGACTTTGTCACAACAGTTATGGCTGAATGGAACCTGTCTTAAATGTACGCAGTATTAATGTCACAAATACAACCATGTATAGAATTGGGCAATTGGCTTGTTCATGTGTAAAATATATAAAATTGTTAAATAAAATGGCGCATTAATTACAGGTAAACTACGTGAAGCGTTCCTCTTTTGACTTCCTAACTCATTTGGAATTTTCCTCATTAGCTTTGCAAATTTGAAAAACTCTTTGCAAATCCCTTGAGGGAATTTGCAATGTTCCTATCAGCTGTTGCAATATTCCAATGAAAGAAACATTTTTAAATTTTCCTAACTTCCTGTTTTAATTTCCTGACTTCCTGTTCTGTTCTGAGCGTTGTCATTGGTGGATTATTTTTGTTAGCCAATTGCAACGCAGAACAGAACAGGAAGTTAGGAACTTGTAACGGGAAGTGAAGAACTTCTAACAGGAACTGAGGAAAATTTATTCGGCTTTTAGCAACATTGCAAATTCCCTCAAGTGATTTGCAAGGGAGTTTTCTAAATTGCAAAGGTAATGAGAAAAATTACAATCAATTTAGAAACGCAAAAGAGGAACGCTTCACGTAGTTTACATGTAAGAAAAATACATTACACAGTCATCTTGGTATATATGAGTAGCATTAAGTGTACCAGTACGAACCTCGTAAGTAAACATCATTTTACTCCCAACCGTAAGTTTGGCTTTTGTCTCACTGGTCAAGTTCACATCGACTATCTAAAAACATCAAAATATGTTTTTATAATATATTTCCAAATCACTAAAATTACATGATTCATAGCCAGTTAGGTAGAAAGCAGTCGGTAAAACACACAATCAAAGAATGGAAATGACTTTATTTTTCTTACAATTAAAAATGTTTACGCGAGTGAAGGCGGGCAATACGTTATAATCACCGTCAGTTTCAGTAACTGGCAGGTGCATGTTCTTATTGGTATTGTGATACCGCAAACCCCGTGTAACGTTCGGAAGGGACGGTAACGGAGGGAAGGTTGAATAATTCCCAGTATGTGGGGATTTTCGGTATTGCCCTGCTCGTTGTTACTGACATTGACCTGGTTACAGTGTGAAACTTCTTGAGTGGATGGAAGCTTCTGAGAAATCACGCTAGGCATGGTTGGTGGAGCTTGCGGTAGTATGGCTGCATGGATTGGTGCGAGTGGGTTGACTGTTGCATCTTCATTGTTCATTGCAGAAGGATGATGAGAGCTTGCGAGTTCTGATGAAATCCAACACATTTTTGGGCGTTGCAAAAGGCACAGCTTAGTTCGACGACAATGGCTGTAGTCTTGTGATCAGAATAAATGCGACGGGTGCTTCTTGATTTCTCACCGTGGGAGAGGTTCGTCATCCATTCTTGGTTTTGTTTGAGGTGAGGTTAATTGTAAACTTGAGCTTAATCCAGTACGGGAAAAGGAATAAAAAACAGTCATGAGCAAAAACTACGGACGTTATAAAGAAAGAAGGATGCGGGCCATGCGGCGTTTACATTTCGCTGGCGGAAAGACCTCGTGAGCGAATACGCGCGTTTAGATTGGCTGTCGTCGTCGCTACGGCAAGCGGAGAATTCTGGGCCACCATTTGGATCGTGACGGAGTAGTTCGCTGATCACGTAATGTACTGCTCTCTCTCTCTCTCTGCCAATCTTTTTTTTTTAATTGGAATTCTTAACATTGTCTATCTCTGTGATGTTTGAGAAGTTGATCATCTGCAAAGGAAATAAATCCAGGCGCTATGCTCAGTCCATATAGTCACTCCATAATGGTCAATTCTTATGACGGCTGACCATACGGCGACCTTTTTCCTTTGTCGGCATCCATTTTGCCACGTCTTGCTGACGTAATAAGTGATACCGACAAAGGAAAAAGGTCGCTTCGCACGAAAAAATTCGCTAGTAGAAAACCGGCTTAAAGGAATGCTCCATTAGTCACTCTCCACATCTGGTCTTCGAGTTTCACCGTTTCAGTAACATGATGGTGTGAGCAGTACAAGTGAAGAGAGCTTCTCTTATCGTACCAGAGTTCCATATCCATTCTAATATTCTTTTAGACTGAGCCACTGTTGGTTGATCACGTCTTTCGTGTGGAGAGGGTTGGTCAGACTTGTGCATGGTTTGTAAAATTTTCATCCATGTGTGTAGACGTTTTTGTGTGGCGTTCCCTTCGCGGTATACGTTGCCCGCGATTTTGGCAACGATAACCTCTTCTAACAGGTGGCAAAACATTGGGCACACGAGTTCGCCGAGTGCAGTTTCGGAACCTGGGGCTGGTTGTTCAAAAGCCGATTAGCTTAACCCTAGGTTAACTTAAAATTCAAAGTACGAAGCCTTCCTAACAGCTTCTTTTTAAGTTTGGAAATATTTGTTCACAAATCATGTCTGGATAAATAGGAGTTTTCATTTCTGACATTTTAAAATAAATAGACATGCAGAAATATGCAAACTAAAACAGCGGGTTAAATTTTAACCCTGGGTTAGCGCTAACCGACCTTTGAACAACCGGCTCCTGGCATACATTCCAGACTGCATGTACTATCTTATACCAAGAAATGGTGTGGCAGTCCCGAAATACTTCAAATGGAATCATGTGCACGTGGAATTCGTTAAAAGGCGCTCGTCAAATCAGTTGCAGTTAGGCGTTTCTTTGGACAATATGAAGTCGACTTGAGACCAGACTTTCCAGTTGGTTTCTTTACGAGGGGTTCCTTTATGAAAATCATTAACATTTTCTGGACGTTTAAAACGCATGTGGTTCAAGTTCGTCAAACTCCGCCTGAAGTTCAAGAGGCAACTGGCGGGCTGTGGTAACAAAGAGGTTCCAAGGTATCACTTGGGAGTTCGATCTCAATTTTAAACTCTCAACATCACACCGTCGTAGATGGGGGAGCTAGAAACCCGGAGTACAAGTGCACAACGTGTTGCTATGCTTGTTGTTGGAAGGCCGCTGACATCCATCACGCAATGCAATGTGGTTGGTTTCTATAAAGGGCGCACTTGTTAATGCAACTACGTTAAGATCGTCGATGGCCAGGCCCTCGAAACAGGGCCGCAGAGAAGGGGGGCAAATTGCCCCGGGCCCCAAGGTGCTGGGGGCCACTGAAAAATTTTTGTTGGGCCCCAGTCTTTTTTGTGTGTTAAATATTTCCGCGCAAAGGACAAGATATCTGTTTTCTTGGGCTAAGTACCGAAATTTGGCATAAAAAAATGAGATAAAGTCCCTGTAAAGCAATTGGAACGTACTCGTCCGGAAAATTTTTTTACTCCTGAAAAAATTTTTTTACCCCTAAAATGGTACACTGACCGAAAATTTTTTGGCGCCGGGCCCCCCAAAAAATTTTGCCCCGGGCCCCCGCCAACCTCTCGGCGGCCCTGCCTCGAAGATGATCTCCTCGACATCACGGTGAAATGACAAACGTGTCTCGCCAAAGACGCGAAGAAGTGAATGAACCATCTGCATTCTGCTTGGTGGATTGACTGGGAACTGAAAGGGAATTGACGCTGAATAGTCAATATGACGGATTACAATATGTTATCCGTAACTCCACTGTTGATTGTTATACGCACTGGGTGATGGGGAAAACATATCTATTTACGTATGGGACTGCGGTACACTTCTTGACTGAAAATGAGCTCGCGGTCTTCAGGTTTGGTCAAACGTGTTGGATCGCCACGTTGGATCTGTACTCAGACTTGGAGATATCATCCAAGATTGCGGCAATCTACCTGGCTTTTTACACATACTTTCAGTTTCGGTTTTGAACTGGGACAAAAGTGTATTCACTTGAAACACGGTTGCTGTTACAGAGGGGATATAATTTTGCCGGACGGTTCGGCTTGGAAGATCTGACATTGCCAGGTGAACTACAGTACATTATGGTATCATTGGCTGTGCAGATGTCGTCAAGTAGAGAGATGAGCGACAGGCCTGGCTGTAAGTATTTGAGCAGGCGCGCGCCATATTAACGCCAGGCACGCGATTAAAAAAGCGGTAAAAATTACGCTTATTGGCTATACAGACAAGAACATTCACAAAATTGATTGAAAATTTATGTAGAACAAAACAATTTTAACATTAGATTTTAGACGAAATTAGTATAGGTACTATATAAAATGTTTGTACCAGTGAATACGTGTATTTACGATATTTTCAAAGTCATCGTACTTTAAACATCAATAAAAATCTAAACATCGCTTTCCGACTAGCTTAACGAATCATCGTTGTCGTCAATGGCGTCGTTCTCAATTCTACGCTTTTTTAACAACGTTTCTTTATCCACGGTGTTGCTGTCGAGTTTGACTTTGCGTCTTTTCTCCTTGTAAAATTCTAATGAACGTTGAAGATTCTCCTTAATATGCCCGACCAGCAGTTATCATTTCCTTTGATCAGCATTAAATCAGTCATTCTTTTATAACTAGTCTAAATGGCGAGGATTTTAAATATTCCGGCAAAAATTCATTTAGAATAAAAAAAACAGACGCGCAATTTCGTACTCTTAAAACACACGAGGCGCGCGTTAAAAGGCGCGTCTCGAGTAGTCAAGGCGCGCACACGCGATCGCGACCGTGATATTTCCGGTTTGATTGAGGCCAGTGTTTGTCACCTCTATTTAGCAAGTTTAGGTAACTCTGAGCAAATAAGAACAATAAAATTCTCAATAGTGGGGGTACACTCCCTGGAAGTTTTCGTCATGGTTAGAAAGGCTATTGGCACACAGTGGACCTCGAGTCTACGGTAGATTTGTTCCTGACATCGCTTTTTTGGGGTGAGTTCGATTAAGCTGGCACCACAAATGACTTTATTTACATATATGAAACTTTATTGACATATTTACAATGTGAAATATTTCATCGGAAAGAGAGAAAGCTAAATACCAAGACTACTAATAAATATAAACAGTACAATACCAAGGCTCAAAATAGCGGCCAGCCAATGGCCAAAAGCAGAAATATGACAAGCGAAAATAATTCTGAACTAGCTGCCAAGTCAAAAAAAAAATGGCAGGCTAAATTCTACTGATTGTTTCAATTCAATTCAATTGCCGAGTGGAACGTTTTGGCAGTTCAAAACATAGATATTGCAGACAAATTTATTTGACCTGTTAAAAAGAAAATAGTTTGTCAGCCATAGTTTTCCTATTTCTAGCCATAATCTCAACTTTTGGACTGCCTTTTCATTATGTCACTTTATCTAACAGTAATGCCTGACAATTTTGCAATCAGAGAACACCACTTGGGTTAAAATAGTTTAATAACCATTACAACATGAAGTTTGTATGTCTAAAGTACAAACCTGATTGTCATTGTAACCAATTTCAAATTTCTTGTGGGTCCAGATGTAATAATCTTTACTCTGATCAACTTCTCCAACAATACCTGTGCACATGAACATTTCAATCTTATAATTAGTTGCATAAATTACAAATTTAAAGTAATGCATTGTGATCAATTTGTTAAGAGTACAATTACTTAATCAATAGTGTCAAGATACAAAATTTTCCTAATAAATTGCAAATCAGTCGACCACTGTACTGTATAAAATTTACCAAATTGCCATTTTGATAAATAAGTCCAATTGAATATAACAAATATGTACTGTACATGTAACAAATGTGTACTATACATGTAACACTTACCCCAAATTGGCAAATCATCTAAAAATACAAGGGAAATCTTCTATTACAATTATAACTGCAAAAAACATATTGAAAGTACAGTACAATAATCACCAAACATACCAATATACATCTGATACCAATAATGGTTATCCACAGCATATTTTAAACTTTGAAAATTCTCTTCATTCACATCCATCTCACAAACTTTTGCACTTGGCTTATTCACTACGTGAGAAAGTAAAAAGTTTTCAGAAACTGTAATTAATAATTGTAATATGTAATAATGTAATTGATAATCATAACAGGGAGTTTAACATTTAAGTTTTTATTTCTTATTTTTTATATAAGATTTGAATTAGAGAGGAAAAAGGATTTTGAACTTTAGGAAATTTGAATCTTGACAAGTGGAAATACTGTCCACAACACAAAAATCGGGGCTGTTCTTTTCACCAATTTTAAAACTATTTTGAAGGTATTGACACATCATTTTAGTACAAAAATGAAATTATAAATAGTAAAAACACTCCATATCTTATCAATATACATTTTAAGAAATCGTTCAATTCCAAAAAATATTAAAATTTTCAATTCTTGATCAGCTATTCCTAATCCTGTCCAATGAAGAAAGAGGGTGCTTTGTTAGAAGGTCAAACCTTTGAAAGCAATATCCAAGCCACTGAATTCTAGTTCAACGCCTTGTATTGCATCAGCAAGACTTTCATGGTAATGACTAATTGTTGTTTTTTCTCCTTTGCAAAATGGCAATGAAAAGTAATTGTATGTTTCTTGGCGATTATGGTAAGGTCCAACTGTGTTCATCCATAAGACAACCTCCTCTTGATTTTGGTACTAAACAAAAAGTCCAAGATAAACACATGTACAGTTAATGTGAAGAGCCAGCCTAGGTGATATCTTCCTATACATGCAGCTTACCAATTGACTATACCCAAGATATTACCAAGTAAATCTACAAACCATTGCGAAGACCCAGTTGTCCATTGGTTATTATATAATACCTTATTGAATTCTGATAGTTTAATTGGCTGTTTAAATATGGTCATGTGATATTGAATAGAAAATTCCATTTCCCAAGAGTGCAATGGAATATGTTCCATTGCACTCTTTGCAAGTGCAATTGTACTATACGTTTTATTCCATTGCACTCTTTGTGTTTTCGATAAATCGCATCCGTCAAAATGCTTATCGTATGGTGATTACAGTATATTTTAACCCGATATTCGAAACTCAGTAAATGGGATTTAATGCAAATACGACTCGTCAAAATGGCGGGAGCTTACAGTAAATCTTTTAATATTAGTCTATCAGGGTTCGTAGTCTCCGAGACCAAAACTTTCAAAGATTTTTTCTGCCTATTTTCAAAGACTTTTCAAAGACCTTTGAGAGCAATCAGCTGTCGAAAACTTGCGAGCGTAAGCACCATTTTTGCCCAGTGATTAGTCCCGCCACATCACATCTTAAAATGTACCTTTTCGTCGATATTTGCGAAAACCTTGCTCTTCAATCAATCTATTTTATTAGCTATAGGAAATCGTATAATCAAATACTCACTAAAGAATTAATTTTAAAGACTTTTTTCGCTTTTTCACACAATTCAAAGACTTTTCGAAGACCTTAAAGACCTGCATTCAAATTCAAAGACTTTCAAGGATTTCAAAGACCGCTACGAACCCTGTCTATATGTCGCCTCGTTGAATGGAACATTCCATCTTTCACCGAATGAAAATATTCTTACCATTGCATGAATAAAAACATTCATTATTTGTGCATTATTAATTGAAACACTTGCTTGGTAGAACACAATTTCTAACTTGACAAGCAAAAGAACAAGTTATACACAATTGTTGAAGGAATTTCGTAGATGGAAATTTTGAGTGGAATTTTTATACATTTATTAGACCTAACCAGGAGCAGTTCCAAAAAATGCAACTATAGGCCCTCTGGCAGGAATCAAACCTGGGGCACTGAGATTCCGGTGCAGCGCTCTAACCAACTGAGCTACTGAGAGACAGTTCTCAAAGTCAAACCATTGTTGATATTTATGTTTTAAAAGTCAATCAGAATCCATTATGTTCAGTCGTAACCAATCAGAATCAACTAACCAGATCTGGGTAGCGCTGTTGGGGACAGGGGTGGAAAAATAGGAGAGCAGGAAATGTTAAACAGCTGCAGGAAATTCAATGGAATGAAGATTTGCTATTGAAAATTTGAAGGAAACCTTAACACTCATGTCCCACTATGGCGCAACAACATATAATGGTAGGGCGTAACAAAAAATACCTGTGGTTCCGGTTTCATATCGTGAAAAAATTAGGGTCGGTAGGTCGGAAATAATTTATTTTTTTTAATATTTTTTCATGGTTTTGGCGGTTTTTTGCTAGGCGATTTGCAGTATTGTCCCGACATCAATATTAACTAGAGATGTGTATTTCCTATGGACGAATTTAGGCAATTTGGTTCAATAATTAGTGTGACAACAAACACCATTTTGGCACGCTGTATGAGCAGCCCGCAACCACCTGGAGAAAATAGGGTCACACGGTCAATCGCGTTGAAAAAATAATAGGGTCAGCAGAAAAAAATAGGGTCGGTCGGGAACCGGAACCACAAGTATTTTTTTTTATGCCTAGACAGACATTATTCCTTAAATTTAAAACCATGGTCAGCTAGAACCCTATATGTTTATGCACATGCAGATTTAGCACAGAAATACTCTGTTGGTCTGCAGGAAATTTTTGTCTCTAGTTGTTCTCCCAGGAAGAAAATGGGTCATTCCAGAAAACATCCATACCCTCCCCACAGAGAAATTATTATTATCAGAAACAATTTTGTCTCCCCTCCCCCTCCGGACATCTTTTCTGGAACGACCCAATTCTTTTTTCCTGCCCTGGTTGGGGGTTGATAAGCAATGTCACAAATTGTAACAGACTGTGTTACACCTTATTGGTAGCATAAATATATTACTTGAAACTTCCCTTACAAAGCCAATAAAACGTTTCAGTAATTTTGACAACTGATTTCTTTATATCCCTCCAAGCATGGAAAATTGACGTGTATTTCAAAACGACATGTATTTCAAAACCACATCAATTTATGGACATAGCCATAGGTTCAGCAGTTTTGAGCTCGCTTATTCACAAATATCCCTAACCCTCAAATAATCATAATAATAATTTCGTTTATTCTTGATAAATCATTCCAGACTGCCATGTCTACTAAATTGACAATTCTCTGGACTGTCACTGGTAAAATACCACAGTTGATCACCTATATATTTTATCACAGATATATGGATTGTATAACAATAAAACCAATCCAACACTACTATTTAAACCATCGACATAACGAGTACAAATTAATACAGCCTTACAGCATCCTGAACATCTTGCTGTTTAGGGCACTGTGTACAATCACAAATTCACAATAGACAACCAGTTGAACTACACATCCAAATATTTTTTGTAACTTCACGGAAGGTTGGATATTTTCGTTGTTTAAAACTATATGCAAAATCTTATTTCATATCAAGTAAATAAGTGTGTTAAACACTTGAATGTGCGAAGTTGCTGGAGAAGTATAAAGTCGCTTGATAAATAAACTTACATTATGATCGTGTTCATCTCCTTTAACACAAGTCCATATCGATAAAATAACTACTGAGAGTAAAGCTAACTTCATATTCTTGTTAAATATTTAGTAACACAACCATTTAATCAATACAACCCAAGAAGATGCAAGCGGATTCTAAATAAGACAAAATGGCCGCCACGTCTTCACTTCCCAACAGCTAGCCACGTCACCTGCAGGCTGCAGCGGGTCGAAGTTCCGGGAACACAAGTACGGTAACTCGCGCAACATGTTGAACGCAACGTACAGTCGCTTTTAAAATTTTTTGTCAAGGTTTTGAGGATTTCTCAATATTGAGAAAAAATGGGCGAAGCTAAGAAAAAAAGGGCGAGAAAAAACAGGCGAAGAAAAAACGGGTGAAGGAAAAATGTTTTATTCTTCCTTCTTTTTTTCTCCGCCCTTTTTTCTTCGTTCGTTCATTCATTTAAAATATCCTCAAAAACGTAAAAAATAAAGCGACTGCTACAATGCTACACAGGCTACAAGTACAGCTGATACCAAAGGGCAATGCATGTACGATGACAAAAGAGAAGAATTCCCTCTTAAATTTGTTTTTATTCTGTCAGCTTTAATAACAGTCTACGTCATCATAGAGAACTCTAAAAGGAGAAATACCACCAGAGGCAAAGCTGGGAGTTACCTTATTTGCTGTAACTAATGACAAACAGATTTCTGGCTGATTGGCCTTCGATAATCAAGTTTATTGACGATACTTCGCTTTAGAGTCATACCAAGAAATTCCATTGGTGTAATATATAAACCATATATACGGATATTCATCATTTTGCTAATGATACTTAATCCTTCTTAGGCCAATCATTATAGGGGAATAAAGAAATAGACTTGTGTGCCAAACTATATTGGGAATCTATCTGGATAAAGACTTAAATTGGAATATCCATATAGATTATATACATGAAAAAGCATGTAAAAGACTCCATGAATAAAGTCAAAAGCACAAATCACCCTTTATATGCGTTACTATATACCAAAAGACGCAGATCAAAACTGTAACTGGTTTTCATATGGTCGTAAAGATTGAGTCACAAGATTTTTCGTTTTAGAAAACGTCCATGCAAACAATGACGACACGAGTGCTTTTTTCCAATGTTTACCTTATAAGTTACCAGAGGATAATTGCTTCCAAAACCACTTTCCGAAATGTAATGGTTTTTCGAATTTTTTTGTTCAGGAAGTGATAGTGGTGTAGATACACACTGTTATAGTGACTACGGTAAAATGTTTTGCTATGTACTGTCATATTCAGGCTTCTGAATTATTGTAAATTCATTTATGTTTTTAATATCAGTACCTTATGTATTCCAACAGGCAAATAGTTCCCGGAAAAAATACTCACTCCTTTTTTAATTACCATGCAGCTCCTTCTAGACATATACCCGCTCCTCTAAACGCTATAACAACACGCAAAATGGCGCGAGATGGCATGAGCAACTCACCACAACCAGATCATATTGGAAGTTCTTTAGTTTGCGTATTCCTGCGGAAATGGATGGTAACGCAGATTTAACTTCATACAGCATAGCCATAAAGTTTTGTTTTGCGATTCTTGTATATAAGGGATTTTGTGAGGATTACTATTTCGAGCCACCTTAAACACTGGCATAGAGAGAAAGCCACCTTAAACACTGGCATAGAGAGAAAATATTTCTTTTTGAGTACATTTTGTATTCAAAATTTGAAAAGAACAAGTTATTGTCGGTGTAGACATACAACCAATTTGCACACGTTTACAATTCATTCGGTCTCTATAACCTTTATTTACAAATTTATACAGTATATTGCGGATAAAGTATTTTACTTCGATTCTGTACTTTTTGGTCTTTTCCTTTTCTTCGACTTTAATTTTCCTTGCTCCGTTGAATCAACTAGAATAAGAGATTAGTCTTTTTAGAATGGTATACAGCTAATTCAAAAAGGTTGTCCTTCGAAAATCTCAAACTTTAAACTCTAAGGCGCAAAGAGTGATTGCGGTAACTTCTATTTAGGGCTTTGATTGGGCAACTAATCCTAGTACACTTCTAGTTATACATCTTAAGTGCTTAGTATCTGTCTTGCCATAGTTGCAATGCAAAATTCGCACGTTCTAGGCCTTAAGTAAGAAATTACCCACCACACCTTGCGCGCTTAGAGTTTAAGGTTTGAGATTGTTGAAGGACAACCTTTTTTGAAACAGCTGTAAATATGACAACATACAGTACTAAACAGTGCACTATACACATGGAAGGCTGACTTCAGTCAGTGACGTAATCAAAAAGTGAAGCTAAAGATGGCGGATTTCCTTCATCTAATCGATCTGTCCACTGCATTTTCCCACTGTATGTGTGAGTAAATCTGTATTTTTCGTTGCGAATTCAATAACTAATTTCAAACTTTTTGGGTTTTTTTTAATAAATTTGTATTCTTATAAATTGGGAATTTATTTTTGCTTTGGTTGTTTCGCTTTCTTGTTGCTAGCCTATGGTGCTTTTCAGTTTTCACACTATTAATTATCTTATTTTAGTCCGTTTTCCTGACCTAAAACTGCTTTTTAAGGGAGTTGTCATTATTTATGGGGAGGGGGGTTGGGAAATGGGAGGGGGGGGGAACAAAGTTTTACCCTTATAAATAGGGGGATCAAAAAAGTTTTAACACAGAGAAAGGGGGGGGGTCATAAAAGTTTTTGAACTTAAATACCATGTCTAGAGTTCTGATTTCTATAATCACAAATAGCAAAAAAGAAGACTCTGAAAATGCTATTTCCAACGATCTAGAGACTCAAAATATTCAAAATTTCCCTGCTCGGCGCCAACCATGGTAGCGCTTCGCGATCGTGGGAGTCGGGCCCACTAAGTTTAACAAGCTTTCTACCCCCTGAGTGACCCAGTTGTGGTATTTACATAAACATACCATGCAAGTACACTTAACTGATCAGATTCGGTCTATCAACGCACAATGTAACGCTGTATATCCAAAAATCTGTTTCAGAAAATGCTCACATTTCAGTTCTAGGGGTGGAAAAATACAAAAAATTTTCTGGGGAAGAATACCCCCAGACCCCCCTACTAGTACATATGATACCACACCAAACTTTTTGTCACCAACAACCATCTGTCATCTCTCCACACTCAATATAGTATGGTCCTTTTTGTAGATGCTCACCCCCCAGACAAGTTCTTAAAAAAAACCTGTGTTCAAATCATTTCGCTGTATGAAGACGGGTCATGGGTTAGGGTAGGACAAATGTTGCATTGCAAAGTAGTAACACATAATATATATTTTTAATCATATGGTTGAATCATATTCACCAGGGTAAAACATCATGAGCTAGATTAAACAGATTGTCCTAATATCTAACTTTACCTGCAACGCACACCTGTTTCATTGCTGTTAATTTTTCAATCCACACTGGGGGGGGTCAGAAAAGTTTCTACTTTTATGAGGGGGGAGGCACAAAAAGTTTGCCTTCAGTAGGGGGTGTCAAAAAAGTTTTCAATCCTTATTTTCCCCATTTCCCAACCCCCCTCCCCATAAATAATGACCACTCCCTAACTGCAGTTTTCGAAGCAGTTTTTAGCCAATTTAATTTCATGCATGTAAGAAAATTTTGTTTTTTTATTTTTTATTTAATAAAATCACTTTGATGATTGCCTTATAAACTTAAACTGTTTATTTTAATGAGTTATTTATGTGTGTGAAACCCTTGTCAGTAGGGGCAATAGAGATATTTTGAAAAATTGAGTGACATTTGTGTTTCGTTTTGTCACTCTTTGTCATCTACAAAAACAACAATCCCGCGCTATTTTTTTTCTTTCCACTCAAATATCGCATCTTTTAAATAAATAATAATTAAAATTTAGAACTGAACTCAAACAAAACATCAGAATTCAACTTTTCATTCAAATTTAGTCTGTTTTTCACCGAATTTTTACTCCGGAAAATAAAGAAAAATATAAAAAAATGTTTGGCCGCGCACGTAAGAGGACTGAGAATGACGCGCAAGAATCATTCTCGTACCCAGAGCCCTTCTTACGCGCGGTGCGACGAGGGGCTCTGGCCAAATCCATAACCGGATACCATAAAAACATGGTAAGAAAACAATGTCCGGTGTTAGAACTAGCCAATCAGATGCCAGTTCGGAATATGGATTTGGCCAGAGCCCCTCGTCGCACCGCGCGTAAGAAGGGCTCTGGGTACGAGAATGCGCAAGAATGCCTTCAATTTCTGCCCATTCTGGTACCCAGAGCCCTTCTTACGCGCGGTGCGACGAGGGGCTCTGGCCAAATCCATATTCTGAACTGGCATCTGATTGGCTAGTTCTAACACCGGATATTGTTTTCTTACCATGTTTTTATGGTATCCGGTTATGGTTTGGCCAGAGCCCCTCGTCGCACCGCGCGTAAGAAGGGCTCTGGGTACGAGAATGATTTCCGCCATGATTGGCTTCACTTTTTGAGCTCGAGTCGGCCTTCCATGTTATATAGTTCAGTGGTAATAAACAATAAATAGGAATAGATATTGGAATTTTGCGTTTCATTCTATCGATATTTTTCACTTTACTATTTTATTCATGTCTTTTGAGTGTGCTAAGATGTGAAATAATGGGACGTTAAAACGTGGAACACGGTCACAATATCTACGTGAAAGAGCAATAGACCATTTTGCTGATGTAAACAAGCTTTTGTTGGTATAGGGATGCAACTATCTGAAAAATGTAAGGATAATTTTGACGTTTCGAGCGAAGCCCCTTCATCTGGAGTTACTGGATGTACATTCTTCCCAGTTACTGGATGCATATTCTTCCTAGTTCCGGTCCCCTCCGGGGGAAGAGTCATTACTCTGCCGCCAAAGGTTTACACAAGAATAAACATCGAGACAAAGTTAAAAACAAACCTGATCCTGCAGTTTTAGTCTGCTTTCGTTCTGCTTTCCCCTTGCTCCTAATCTTCTTTCTTGACTCAATTTCAGTTTCATTTTTGGGTGTAACTTGAACGACGTCTTTTGATTTAGATTTTCCAGGAAATACAGTGATGCAAGTTGGTCGACAATTTAACTCAAACTGACAAAGAAGATCTGGTTTATCATCGTACTATAAAAAAGAATGACTCTTGTTGATATGTTTCTCGCTGCAGTCGACAGGTTTGTACCGAAAATTAAAATACGAGATGCAACAGTGGATCGATGAGAGTTCATTAAACTTTCAAAACAAAAGCAAAAGTTGTGGAAAATAGCTAAAAATCAACAAGTATAGGTACTGTAAGACTGTAACTAGGTCGGAGTTGCCTTTTAGTCGGTATAAGACGAAGAATGATCCATCCCCCTTTCGTTTTGCCGTGGGGAGATGGATTGCCGAGGGGGAGAGCCACACCTCACATCAGCACATGAACCTTCCGCACTGCCACTGGTCATATTACCTGGATTGTGCTACCCATACCCTAAGTGGGCGATGACCGGTATCGAACCTGGAACCTTTCGATTACGAGGGACTGCTTGTAACCAAATTAAAGCAACAACAAACCGCAAATACTGTGCTTTCCTTTCTAAACTTCAGGGCGAATTAAAAGACAATCCACAGCAAATTTTGTCGCGTTTTATACAGCTATGACAAAGGGGACAAGAATTCCTATTTCATTAATTTTGGCAACGAGAAGGCTTCAATGGAAAACAGCATCTCTATATTTAGCGAGTGTTTTCCTGAAGCCAATATAAACGCATTTCAATTAAAAAGCTATCAATTACTGTAAAGTTTGTGGTCCATATGTTATTCCTGGGAGAATACTTAAATATGTGCAGTAAAAATTGCACAGTTAACTAATCTTTCGCTTCGAATACACCATTTCCACAATTACGTAACTAACAGACCTCTTTTTGGCTTGGCAGCTCATTCTCATCAGTGAGCGAATTACCTTTCATCTTGATTCATGACAGCGAGGCTCCCAGGCTAAGGAAGCATGCGTGACGTCATGATCGAAAGGGTGTATTGGTCAACTAACATTGTGCTTGTTCAAAAGAATGGGGATAATAAAAACATGGGCATGGCAAATTACAGGTCTTGCTAATCTTTTGTTTCCAATGTAACTGGAAGTCCATGTCAAAAATGAAAATGAATACAAAGGACTCGGCATGCCAGTGTCAGCTTAAATATTCCAATTGGGGATCTTTTCTTATGGTGTTAAGGCCGATCTACACAACCTTTGCTTAAAACTGTCGCATGCAACCTTTTACAACTTGAGTTGTGCTGTGTAAATCAAGCATAAAATTCACCTACGACAACGTAGGTATAGGGATGCAACTACCTGAAAAATATAAGAAGAATTTTCGACGTTTCGAAATTAGGTTTGGCACTACCTGCACTGGCACAGGCAGTTCAAGATAGTACTGGGTGTCCCAAAAAAACTGGACACTGTTTGATTTCATGTAACGTAAAAGCTATAAAAGCTACCGCAATGATCATTGCATTCAGAAAGGACTAACTTAGATTTAACAAGTATAACTACATTGCTAATTATAAAGCTGTTTTATGCTAATTTTTGGCATTTTCAAAAACAGTAGTTCAACGTTCAAACATCAATAGCGCAGTCAATATTGCATGTAAATTCAAGTGCTATATATCAAAACCTAAGTTAGCCCTTTCTGAATGCAATGTAAGCTATGCTGTATGTAAGCTACTCACAAATTCGAGTGTAAATAAAGTTTATGTATGTATCCTTATTTCATTGCGATAGCTGTTATAGCTTTTACGTTACATGAAATCAAACGGCAGTGTCCAGTTTTATTTTGGACACCCAGTATATATGCAGCACATTACGCAAAGTTTTCAAAAGCAACCTACTTTTCCATTTTGAAAGCGCCAAGCCTTCAACACACCATCCGAAGATACAGAAAATAAAAGTACTCCTGTGACATCAGACGTATCATCGTGATGTTTAACACTTGCTAAACCTTTGATTCTATACAATACAATACAATACAGAGTAAGCATGCAGATATAAAAGCTAATGAACAATTTATTCAGATAAGTCAATCCACTCGAACTGTATATGCGATGAAGGTATTTACAGTCATACACTTACCTAGTTTCATGACCTGTTATAGATTGAACATTTCTTTCTGATTGAATATCATGAATTTCAATATCCTGCATCTCTCCACCAGTAGCTAGAACGTTATCCTGATATATATTAAAATATTATGAATTTACATGTATTAAACTAACATATAGCAAAGATGGTTTCAAAATTAAACTTGACATATTATCTGTTTCAAATACTTTCAACTTTAAAGATTCAGTTTCATAAGAATAATGAACTATCTGTTGGCTATTATTCAAACATTTGTTTAACAGAATACTGACGTATGCCATTTAATGTGCATTTTTTAAAGCAAGCCAGTTTATTAAAAAAGCTTGTTTTTCTCTTGTACATGCAGTATTCTAGCCTGCACCAAATGCACCGTTTGTCTGAAATTAACTTACGAACATCTAATAATATGCACCGCTCTCAGGGCGATTGAAAGCTAACGTGAATATCCCGCCTCCCAGGGATGAACCACGCACAAATATTGCTTTTCACACTTTATTACTATCACAAATCACTAGAATGTTCGTATACGCAAGGTTCTCTCTCTCTCTCTGTTTATACATATACTTCACTAAAAAATATCCGATCCCATATATGGGCATAACTTCCCTATATGGTCGTTGTTTTGACCTAACTAAATGTTCTGGCTAAATATCTATATAATGTTAATGTTAACGTGTCCCAGTTCCCGACACACTCCCCCCATGCGACACCCCCCAGGTGCTGCATGTTACATAAGGGAACCGATTGTTTCACTGTTCGAACAAAACTAATTAATAACGAAAATCAAGTTCATCAATGTTTCTCTTCCTGTAATGTCTCTACCGTTCTTCCTCGTATTCAGCAATCGCTTGAATCTTGGCTTGCGCATCCTGAGTAGCTCTTCTCTTCGGCTTAAACTCTGCTGCTTGTGGGCTCAGCGGTTCAGTTGGTTGCTGTTCGTCACTATTGTCACACTGGAGTTCGAGAGGATAGATCTGAATAGGTCCTCCAAATCTCCTTTTGCTGTTTGAAGCTTGACTCCTCGTACGATTCCATCTTTACCGATTATAAGGTGTACAACCTTCCCGAGTTTCCAGGTGTTCCGATTCTTGTCGTCTCCTTTTACGATTACTATTTCTCCTTCTGCGGGATTGGTGGTATTCGTCTTTCGAAGCGCTTTGTGTCTCTCTCGTAGACCAATCAGGTACTCTCGAGTCCAACGATTCCAGAGACTGTCTTTCGTTGCTCGTAGGAACTTGAGTCGTTTCTTCAAGTCGCGCTCTTCTGCATGATGAGGTTGGAGCTCCGGCAGTACTTGGGGTCTTTGAAACAGGAACGTGTTTGGCGTCAACACAGGCAATTGAGGGTCGTCTTCCAAATATGACAAGGGTCGGTTATTCATGCACGTCTCCACGTCTAGCACGACTTCTTCCAATTCTGAAAAAGTCAGCATTCCACCTCCCACAGCGAAAAGCGGCCTTGAAGATGCCAATGAGCCGCTCAAACTGACCACCCCACCAAGGTGCTTTCGCAAGGTTGAAGCGCCAGCATATCTCTTGATTGCAAAGGGTGGTGTGGAATTTCTCGTCTTCGCGGAATTTTTTTAAGCCATGTTGCTGCGGCTTTGAATGTTGCACCATTGTCGGAGTACACTAGCGTTGGTCTCCCTCGACGAGCTACAAATCGTTTGAAGCTCTTCAGAAACTCTTCTGTTTCAAGACTTTTGACAAGCTCCAGGTGCACTCCTCTCGTCAGACTGCATGCGAAAAGTGCTAAGTACGCTTTTCCTTCTTGCTTCTTGCTGGACCGATAGCGAATAGGACCCGCAAAATCAACCCCTACAAGCGCACTAGGAGGTGGATCTGCATACGGTTTGGCAAGGTTTCGCCTACATCCCCAACAGTCCCTTCGGACCCGTTTCACCAGGCTACGCAATCTGTGGATCCAGTAACGCTGTCGTACTTTGGTCATCGTAAGGGATGTTCCCCCATGCAAAGTTGCAATATGTTCGCGCTAAACTAACTTGTTCGAAAACAGTTCAATGTTAGGAAGGTACAGAGGGTAATGTCCAACAATGCGGCCACGGCATTCTAACAGCCCGTTCTTGTTCTCTTGAAGGTTGAGATCTGCGTTTCTTTCGCGTTCTGCTGCTGTCACCGACTTTTGAACCTTTTCCACCCACCACATCTCTTCTTTGAGGCACTCTTCATATCGAAGTGGGCCTTGTTTTCTTTCTGCGGGCTAGCTCCTGATATTATGAACGAATCTCTTCACCCAGGCGCCAATTCTCAAGGTTTTCTGTAAGCTGTGTGTGAACGTGTGTGACAATCTTGTTCAGGTTCTGCAACTGCAACTGCGAGCACTTCTCGTGTTACTTTGGCTTCGGTTTGCGATTCTGGAGATGTCCGAACAATTATCTCTGCTGGCCACTTTGCTTCGTCTCCGAGCCACGCTGGTCCATGTAACCACAATTCTGTCAGCTGTCCTCCTCTGCTGCCGAGATCGGCGGGGTCCTCTTCTGTAGGAACGTGGTGCCACTTAATATCGGAATGAGCTTGTATTTTTGCCACACGATTGGCAACAAATTGGCGGTACTCTCCGGTATCCTCTATCCAGTAGAGGGCGACTGTACTGTCAAGCCAACAATGCTGTTGCGTAACTTTCTCTTTACCAATTGCCTTGGTAACGTTGGTGATGAGATTGGCTGCCATATGGCCAGCTACCAATTCCAAACGTGGTATGGTGAGACCCCTCTTGGCTAGGCGTGACTTTGCTGCCACCAACATCTGGGTGTTGCCAGAATCTTGTTTGGTCAGTGCATATACTGAGGCACAGACTCCCTGCTTGCTCGCATCACCGAAACCGTAAAGATGGATGTCCGTAATGGGTTCTCGATACGGAGCTATTGGTCTTGGAACTGTCACCACTGCAGGAAGTGCCTGTTCCCACGAAGACCACCGGTTTCTGAGTGTCCCGTTGAGCTCAAAATCCCAGGGAAGCTTCGCGTCACACATATCCCGATATATGATCTTCCCCTGTAGTGTTATTGGCGACGCTATTCCTAAAGGATCGTAAATCTTCGCCAGCTGTCTCAGCGTTTCCCGCTTCGTAGGTTCCATACTTGTGTTGTTGGCCATCTGAACACTTAGAGTGTCATCCCGTTTGTTCCAAGGCAACCCGAAAATCTTGGACTCATGAGGTGCTACACCTAAGTTCATCTTCGCTGCAGTTTGCTCCTTGTGATCAATGTTCGAGTCCGATTTATCTTCAAGAGCGTTTTCATTTGATGCCCACTTGTGCAGTTTGAATGTCGCATCTTCGAGGATGGCGGTGGCTGCTTCCTTCCGTTGACTCGCTTGCTCCACTGTTTCACCTCCACTCAGCAGGTCATCGACATACAAACTCCGTCTGATCTCTTCCACTTCTTTAGGTCTCCTCTCTTCCCATTTATCAAGATGAGCTGCCAGGACTCCCCCAAGAAGGAATGGGGACGATGCTAGCCCAAAAAGCGCCCTGGTGAAGCGAAGAGTTTGGAACTTCTTCAGTTTCTCTTTTCCAATGGAACCGAAGGGCATCTCTTTCACTAGTTCTGATGCGGATTTGGAGGAAAGCCTGCTTGATGTCTCCTGCCAAGGCCACTGGGAAAGCTCTCTGTCGCACAAGAACCTCCCAGAGCCGGTTCTGTAAAGACGGCCCCGGATAGAGGCAGTCGTTCAACGAAGGACTGTTTGGTGTTTCTCTGGCTGATGCATCGTAGACCACACGTAGCTTTGTGGAGGCTGCTGTCTCTCTCACGACTTCCTTGTGCGGTATGTAAAACTCTTTACCCTGCGGTTCCGATGGAGCTTCTTCGACTATTCCTTGGGCCTTTTGATCTTCGATAACAGCATCATATTGAGCAGAAAGTCCCTTTTTTGTCAGTCGTTTCTGAAGTGTTGTCAGTCGTTGTAGGCTTCCTCTCACGTTTGTAGGCAGAGGTGGATGGTTCCCCTTCCAAGGCAGGCCGGTCTCATACCAACCGTCTGGTGATCGTTGCAGCTGCTCTCGAACCTCTTGGTAGACCTCTCCCTGGTCATGCTCTGCAGTATCGTACAGTCCGAGTACATCCAACCGACAGAGTTGCTCGTAATCTGATTGGGAGGTTTGGGTTAGCATCATGGGCGAAACATCGAACTCTGCTCCAGGACTCATAACAAACCATCCCAACTTTGTGCATTCCGCTATGGGATCTCCCTCGTTTCCGACTAGTGGTCTATCCTTTGTTTTAATACGTGCATATTCTCCATTGCCAAGTACTATGTGGATGGGAAGTGATGCTTTGGTGTCGTTATCGTTCAGCTTCGCTTCTTTCAGGTGTTGGAATCTTCTCACAAGGCTTCGTAGCGAGGGTTATCAATAAACAATAATTCACTTTTGTTGACTCTTGTCAAGTTCACATCCAGTTCATAATCAGAGTCGAGTGCTTGAACATTCGCATTGTAAATCTCTAGTCTCGCAGTTCGAGAAGTCATCAACATATCAATTCTTCTTGTCTTGGTTTGTACAGGTTTCAATTTCAAGAGTCGATAAGCGCTCGACACTTTATCCCGTTGACCTTTACAAGCACCACTGGAAAAATCCCTTCTTTGTTGGTTTTTCCCATTGTTAGCAAGGTTTGGTCTTCGTTTGGCGTGTCGCAGATGGATGTGTGGTGTTTCCTTTGGCATTTCTGACAAGTTCCTTTGCTAGAGCAAAGTGCTGCTCGATGGTTGCCTGTTGCGCAGTTGAAACACAATTTCTTTTCCGCAAGAATTTGCTTCCGAGTAGAGACATCTGTCACTTTGTCACATTCATTTGCCTTGTGGGTACCGTCACAATAAACACATCCTCGTTGCTTCCCAGTAAATCCCTTGGAATGCATGAGTTTCCTCGATTTCACATCTCTTCTTCCCAGTTGCAGATCATCCTCTTTATACTCACTACACGGATTTCGTCGTGTCCATAACCGTACAGCCTCTGATAATTTTGCGAAGTCCCAGGATTCCCAGTCTGGATCGGTACGAACCAAGTCACCACGGATACCCGAGAGTTTGTCCAAGGTCATTGGGACATATCCGTTGACAGTTTCTAAATTTTTCAAGGTTTCATGGGCATGAACGGCGTGAGTTAATCTATCACTGAAATCATGTATTTTCTTTGGATTAGAGCTAGTTATGGTCGGTAAGTCCATAATCACCTTTACATGCGCTTTCACGACCTCTGAATCCTTGCCATATCGATCAGCAAGGATTGATTTGGCTCTATTATAGCCCTCTGGGGTAAATGGCAACCCTTCGATTGTTGGTTTCACTTTAGGGCCAAGGTATCCAGACAAATAAGCCAATTTGTTCACCGGCGCAATAGAACGCTTGTCTACAGTTTCTGAAAACTGATTCCAAAAGCGTGGCCAATCCAGCGGAGAACCATTAAATTTTTCAATTTCAATTTTAGGGAGTTTTGCCTGAATAGTACCTGTCTCAGAATTCGCATTCTCCGCATTCTTGTCATATCTTTGCGCTTGTACAGATTGTGAATCTATTTTCATCTGCTGTAATTTTACTTCAAATTGATACCTTTCTTCCTTTTCGGCGGCTTCTTTTTCTCGCGTTTTTTCTCCCAACCATTGTGTAATCCGAGCGACATCGACGTCGGCAGACTCGAGCTCTTCGTCGACCGTAGAACTCCATTTCGCAATCTCTTCGAGTTCGACCTTTTCTCCGATTTTAACCGCTTCAACAGCGCATTTGTGTTGTTCAATTTCGCTTGATATCGCTTTGAGGGCCGTAAGATGACGTTCGATAGCTTCTTTGTTATTTTTGTCCAAGATTTTACCAGTTTTAGTCACGGTGAGCTTTAACTGGGTCAATTTCACATCGAGATTAGCCGCTTCAGTCATCGTAGAATTCGCTAAATTTTCGTCGGAGGTGCCAGGTAACGTGAATATCCCGCCTCCCAGGGATGAACCACGCACAAATATTGCTTTTCACACTTTATTACTATCACAAATCACTAGAATGTTCGTATACGCAAGGTTCGCTCTCTCTCTCTCTCTGTTTATATATATACTTCACTAAAAAATATCCGATCCCATATATGGGCATAACTTCCCTATATGGTCGTTGTTTTGACCTAACTAAATGTTCTGGCTAAATATCTATATAATGTTAATGTTAACGTGTCCCAGTTCCCGACAAAGCCTTAACTGGCTTGTAACGCCTTAACAGACTTTTACCAACCAGTTGATATAGGCCTTTATAGGCCTCAGCAAGGGCATCGATTAAAGTCGTTATTTGGGAGGACCTGAAAATAGGACTATCATACAATTACATTACTTGTTAGTCCGCCAACGCTTGGAGGACGCCAACGCAAGGACAATGGCTATCAACACAACGAAAGGGAGAGCTTATTCTGCTTTCAGTTGGTGCAGTGACGTCACACCGAGCTTCTGAACCTAACTCTACCCTACCATAACCCGAATCTTCAGTGTGACGTTACTACATGAACTGGGCGCAGGATATAGTCTTGTCCCAAAATGAAAAATTCATCACATGAATAATTAGAAGTCTTACGGGAGTTTCCGACGTCGTCCAGGCTCTGCTGACAACGGCAAAAATACATATTTTCACGTCTCTTATACAAAGCTAGTATTTCAAGTTGTGACACAAGTCACACAACAGAGTTGATTAAAATTCTTCCGCCCTGGTAAAGCCCTGCTAACCTTCTGAAACTGTATTAAATTCATACGATGGTAAACACAGAACAAAGTTTCCACACAGTCATATATTTCAAAGATTTTGAATTGTTTGGCCGTCGTCCTCACGTTGCTGTCTTCTATACGTAAACGCCGTGATATCAGTGATATCAATAATATGTCAAGACCTTATATACGTGTTAGTCCAGCAGGCTGAGGCATTTGAACCCAGGACGTCCCGCTTCATGAACCTATCGTTCATAAATGTCATTCTGAATATTGTCTTATACATGCAGTAATGTTTATATACTCACATCTATAAATGTCATAGCCAAGACAGTTTTTGTACACTCTATTGTATACACCAATGCTGCAGTCTGAAAAACAACAATATATACATACAGAAATAAACAGGGCAAATCGAGTATAGATGAAGTCAGTTAGCCAGAGGCAGTGAGTTAGCTAGATATAAACAATATAACCTTCACAGTTCGCATAAATAAATCACAATGTTAATTGTTAAAGAGACCATGTTTACTGTAAAACCCCCATACTTACAGAAACTTTATAGACAATGACTTGTGTCCTCGTTGCAACAGCATACGTTTCTCCTGAGGGTGACCAAAGCACAATATTTGCCACTACAAAACGTTACATTAGCAAAAAAACAATATAAATATGGTACGTGTTTTACAGGCCAAGTGGAGGTCACCTGAACGCACCTCCATAGCTCAGACTGTTCAGTAACACTTTTCGTAAATAGAAGACATTATATATCTGCGGAAATCTAATAAAAGGGTATATACCCTATTATCCCGCATATATCGCATGCATGCATGCGCCTGTAAGCGGATATAGTTGTTTTACTTTTTTGTGTCGAAATCGCCGTATAAGCGCATGCGCACATAACTATCCGCGTATGACGCACCCATGCATCTTGCTAAGGTCGAAGTAGGATTTATACGCATGCGGAGATGACTGGCCCTCGCGTTATTGGACGTTATATGCCAATATCTCTCTATAGATTGGGGCATTCCAAACAGGAAATAAAAGTTATAAAATATAGACATGTTATGGGGGGAAAATAGTGAAATTCAACCATTATAGTATCCAATATACTACCATCATCCGACACACCTACAAATTTATTTAACCAGTAGAAATAGAATTGTGTCAAATAGCTTGATTTTATCATCCAGTAAAGATTATATTGTTTAGGAGTGGTACTATTGAATAACATATATGTTTCTCAATTTAAAATTCCATTATCCGAATCTATTAAGGCCCATTTCCACTCAAGAAAAATTTCCACGGACAGAAAATTTTCTGAAAATATAATTGTTAAAAGTTGAAAAAAGTTGAAAATTTTCAACTCCAAAACTTTTTTCCGACGGACGCCCGACATTTGTGTCGGCCAATCACATTTTACAAAATTTTCTTTCTGCGGAATATTTTCATGAGTGGAAATGGGCCTTTAGTCGTCTTCTATCATTTTGTTATCCACAGTCAGGTAGTTCAACCATAGTTCAACTAACCTTGTTTTATGTTTGTTACATACGCTGATCTTCCAGTTAGCAAGTTCCACGTTCTAAATGGGAATTGATCATAAACCACATATTGTCAATCAACAAGAAGAGTTCGTTTATTTTTTCGATTCCCGTTCCGGACTCAAGACATTCATGCGAAAAGAATCAATCAAAGCTCTACCGAAAGTTGCGCGTTTTCTCTGGGTACTCCGGTTTTCTCCCACAGGGCATGTTGATAGGGTGGGTTGGGTTTAGCTCATATAAATAATAGACATAGAATGCGTGCTCCTATCTTTTCTCAGTAAAAATTTTGCCTCCACAAAATGGCGGATTTATAAAGGCATTTTGACTAGTCCCAGACTCCTGCGGCAAGGAATTTCGCGCGGTTGCAGGGAGTGCGCGAATTCTTTTTTTTCAACAAAGTTTGCAATTGCAAAAACAATTATATCGAGACTTGGCTAGTGGAAAAAAGTTTTTTAAAGGAGAAAAACCCATTCCAGTGGGGTTTTTTTACGAAAAGCAACAGTTCTGAACAGAGTATATATACAGAAATCGTCGTTTAAAAATACATTTTCAACGTTGTTGTGCAAGCGAAAACAAAACACGAAAGATCAAGACAAACTCAAACTCAATACTAACTAAAGGTATATGTTCTAAAAATATTTCGTATGTTTTATAATATAAATGGAGTTTAGTAATCTTTTTAAACTTTCAAACTACTTTTTTTATATATTTTTACGTTGCTTCAGCTTCAGGCAACGCTTTTGAAACCATAGTTTTCAACGATTATTTAGGCGATTTACAGTTTATCGACAACTAAATATTTTTGTTTCAAAAACATGAAAACAATTATAATGGCATTTAATTTTTGTTTTCAATTTGGACACCGGTCACGTGACCAAGCACGCATTCTAGTTCTAGGTCTAATATTTCTATGGTTTAGCTCCTAACTGATTGGCCCTTCCATCATGGCTATCATCCGTGATCAGACACGAGTTGTACGGTGGCTGCCAGAGGTGCCCTTTTCGACTCGATCAGGTTGAGCTGCGTTCTTTGCAATTCAGCCCAGCTCTCAGCTGCAAGTAAGGATGATCAGCGCATCCCCACTGACCTACTGTACTTGTGTACAAATTCTGCGCTCTTCCGTACACCAATACACGACTGTTAGCTGTTCGAAGTTAGGGCAGCTTGTGCATTAAAATTGGAGTGTGAATTAGCTACTTTTAGCTGTCGAAACTGTAGGCCTTACTCTCAAATGCGATTTGAAGTTTGTGGTCAGCGGTTTGCCATAAATGTCAATCTTAAAGTCCCTATTGTCACATACACGAACACGAGGCTCTGCAGCCTAAATCACGTCCGTGATTTCTGGCCATGAATATTATTACCTTAACGATTTATCTGTTGAAACTGACAGAGCCAGACGTCCCGTTGGATGAACTGATATAGATGTCACTGCCTCTCTGTTACAATAACATTAAAACAGATATGCATGTTAAAACCTCCAGGAAAATATGATGAATCTCTGGATGAATCCTTTCAATTTAATTACTGTCGTTCCAATTGAAGTGTTGCTCAAATATTGATTCAATGCATTACCACGGGCTGACCAATTCATCTCATTCATGTCCTCGAGATATTCATACACTTCCTAGTATAATTGTAAACCTCTTGTTGAACAGTTTGAATGCACCAATCACCTTTGTTGTTTGTGCAACTAACCAATCATAAATAGAAAGGAAGTGACCAGAAATGATCAAATACTTGGAATTGGCTCTTTCAGAGGAAGTGTATGAATATCTCGAGGAACTTGATCAAATGAATTGGTCAGCCCGAGGTAATGTATTGAATCAATATTTGAGCAACACTTCAATTGGAACGACAGTAATACACATGTACAGAATATAGCTACATCAGTAGCTACACGAGTATCGAAATGTAATGTCATGAAAAATAGCTAAATAAAATATTAACACTGTGAAAATAACCTACCGATGTCCTTTCAGAACTTTTAAACAATCCCATGATTTACATTCCCAGACACAGATTGTCCCATCTTCACTACCACTCAACATGTGCGAGTTATTGCAGAAAGACAAACAAGTGATCGTTCCTGTTGGCAAGGAGCAGAGTAATTATCGTACAGATTTCACACATCAAGCGCTCTCTCCGCTGCAGAGCCTTAAAGGCCATTTTCCATTGCGGTCGCTTTGCCCGCGCGCGTGAAGCGACCAATTTTAATCACGTGAAAAATCAGTCGCGCGGGCACGTCAAGAAAGTAGTTCTACTTTCATGGCATGTCTGTGAGCATTCAAATGGACAAAAAATGCACAGGATAGACAACTACAGAGAAAGTTGAGTAATGTTCGCTCCGCCCACGCGGGCAAAGCGACTGCAATGGAAAATTGCCTTAAAGGCCCGTTTACAATTTTTGCTTGCGATTTCTAGTGCGATTTTCTTCTTCTGATGGATGTGAACGAGTAGAGTTATATGAACCTTCATCTGAACATTCATAAATCATCCACTCGTTCACATCCATCACAAGAAGAAAATCACACCTAAAATCGCAGCAAAAATTGCAAGTGTAAATGGGCTGTTAGTGTTGTGAGATAAGAGGTATCACTTTAAATTTTAGAACTGGTACCGGGTACCACAGAGTCCTACTGTATATTAATTTCATTGGTGATGAGGTACACTAAATGATGTTTTAAAGTTCAATGATTAGGTTGCATTATGCACTACTTTATTATTTTATTCTAACGCCAGGCTATTTTACTTGTCAAGGGGAGAGCACTGGTGCTCAATGTGTTAACCCGACTATCTGACCATTTTCTAGGTAACCCATTAAATTGCATAATGGCCCTCAGGGGTCATTGAGTGAAAATTTACCGACTCATTTCAAACGGTAATTAATATTTCTTTTCCCATTTCTTCCTTTAATGTTTCCTTTTATCCTTCATATTTTCATAAATTTCTCCAAATTTTAGGTATAATTATTATGTTTAATCTGTTTCACTCCCATATCAAATTCATATTTTCCCGTATCAAATTCATGTTTTGCTGACTACGAAAACAATATTCCAACTGGGATTCACTGTTTTGCTGACTACCTGATGACTGGGGGTTACCACCCTCCCCGCCCCCCACACTCACCCTTTAGCGCCGCCCTAACCTGCGATCAGGCCTATAAATAAATAAATAAATACGCCTGATACAAACCTTAAGGTGGCTCGATACAGTTTTCAAAAATTCAGGTGTTTAACACTTTGACATGTTCAAACTACGCATTTTTAGGATTTATTCAGCAGATATTGGGTTTTTTATATATTTTGATAACTCTACTTTCAAATTATATTCGTTTTAGTAACAGATAGTTCGTTGCTATGACGACATACGTGTACGAAATTGACTCCAAAATGGCCTATCGTCTCGTATAGTTGGAAAAAAAGCATGGTGACCCCCAATTTTTTTTCGTGCATTATTTTACTTGGACGAAAAGCTAACAATTAGCAAAATATAAAAAATTTCTGTAATGCCATTTTTTTGGAAAATGCGAAAATGTCATATTCTTTGGTAACATTTTTTTGGCATTACAGAATTTTTTTATTTTTTGTATAATGAAAATTTTTAGCGGTGCAATACAGCATGCAAAATTTGAACATAGGTCACCAGACAAAATAAAGAGATATAGCGCATTGTTTTTCTAAAATGGAAAATTCTAATGACGTCAGCAATTGACATAAAACGCTATAGAACACGCGCAATGGCGTGAGATGGCGCGAGCAACTGCTCACGTCAGGTCATTTTGGAAGTTCTTTCATTTTGTTAATCAGTTTCCGCGACCTGCGCGTAAAAATGGTCAACCGGTTTTGAGTTCGCGATTCTTGAACAGGGTTTTTGTGATAACTATATCGAGCCACCTTAACAAAAGTCCATGCTGTACAACCATATTTCGGTTGTAAATCTGATTGGTCTATAAGACAAAAGATTTTTTAATCTGTCATTTGATTGGTTGGTGCTAATTGATTATACTATTGTTGTTGATATACAGTATTTTATAGTGATCACAACTATAATTAGATTGTTGTTGTCATTGTGTGATATTTAAATTTCTCCTGCGACATCTTGATTGGATACTAAATATAAACTTTGCTGTGGGTGGAAAGCGATCGGATTAAGGTTTGTGTCAGGCTAATACGGGCTATTATTTGTAAAATAGAGCCCGATACTCAGGTTAGCGCCGCCCCTGTGTGCCCTACTTTAATTATTATTTTACTCAGTGCCATAGCTTGGATCTTTTAAGTGTGTAAGGTGAAGCATCCTGATTTTACCGACTAAATGGGGGTGCCCTTCAACAAATATAAGCATGTGAGAGAGATACAACTACCTGAAAAATATATTAAACAGAACTTCGACGTTTTGAGCAAGTCCCTTGGCTATGAACTTCACGACGAAGCATATTTAAATTTATAGTTTCAGGTAGTTGTACATATATGCCTATCACACCCCAGCTGTTGTCAATTAAATCTGCTGATCCTTAAATTTGCTGTTACTGTACTTGTAATGTACTTAATTTAATTAAAATTGTAAAAGTTGGTGTTTGAGATGACCATGAATTTGTATGTATATTTTAAAGTATTCTAAATTAAAGAATATATGCTAGCCAAAATATGCTAGCAGAGTTTGGATGAATGCTTTCCCAAAAAAGTTTGAATTCATCAATTTGAACATCCAATTTTACAATTAAATACCTTCTTGTTGGGTTAGGCATCCAAGTTCAATTCTTTGTTTTAACTCAAACAATCTGTAGAGAAAACATTAAAACAATGTTATGTGTTACATGTTGCAACAATTTTTCTCCGAAATTTTCTTAAATGATGATGGTGAGGAAGTGCTGCTCCAATTAGTTGCAGTACCGGTATATGCTTTGAAATTCTTATTAAATTGCTGAATTATCCTATTTTCCTCAGCACAAATATTCCTAACAGTATTGAACAAGTAGACTTGCTCCAAGTTTACCTCCACTGACTACTAGTCTGTCTCTATTAATTCCACAAAGTTTGGTTGAGCAACGAACAAAATCGGGCGAGGGCGAGCAATGTAAAAATTACAAGCCAAGAAGCAGCATTTTCATTTGCGTTTCGTGCCAAAACTGCACATCAAATGTGAGTTGTTACAGACTCATTGTTTCCAAACTGGAAATAACTGCAAACTGAAGTCATTGCTTTGATCAAACTAAAACCACCACTAATCACACATAATACCCCAGGTTGAAGATCTTGGCAAGATTTTGTAAGATCTTGCATGATCTTGGAAGATCATGGCAAGGTCTTGGCAAGACACTAATCTTGGCAAGATCTTGCCAAAATATTACCAATATCTTGCTAAGATTATTCAATCTTGCCATACTTGCCAATCTTGCCAAAATCTTGCCAAGATTGTCTGAAATTCTTGTCAAGATCTTGCCAAGATCTTTCATGATTTTTCGTCATACATAATTCTTGCTGAGTTGTATTTTTCGACCTTCATAAGTATAGGTATAATGAACCTTGATCAAACCAATCGCATATATCACAACATTGCCAATACTCTATCATGATCTTGCCATGATCTTGGAAGATCTTGTCAAGATCCCACGATGATCTTGCCAAGATCCCACCATGGCCCTTGCTAAGATCTTATCACAATCTTGCCAAGATTCTATCATAATCTTGCCATGATCTTGCACAATCTTGGCAAGATTCCACCATGATCTTACCTAGATCATATCAAAATCTTGTCAAGATCCTATTGTAATCTTGCCATGATCTTGGAGGATCTTGGCAAGACTCCACCATGATCTTACCAAGATCCTACCATGATCCTTTCTAAGATCTTATCACAATCTTGCCAAGATTCTATCATAATCTTGCCATGATCTTGGACAATCTTGCCAAGATTCCACCATGATCTTGCCAAGATCTTATCAAAAATCTTGCCAAGATCCAACCATAATGTTGCCATGGTCTTGAAAATCTTGACAAGATCTCACCATATGATCTTGCCAAGATCTCAGCATGATCTTGCCAATATCTTACCAAAATCTTGCCAAGATCTTATTGTAATCTTGCCATGATCTTGGAGGATCTTTTCAAGATCCCATCATGATCCTTGCTAAGATCTTATCACAATCTTGCCAAGATTCTATTATAATATTGCCATGGTCTTGGAAGACCTTGTCAAGATCTCACCATGATCCCAGCATGATCTTGCCAAGATCTTTTCTATCTTGATCTTGGAAGTTCTTGACACAATCTCTTGTCATGACTTTACCATGATCATACCAAAAATGCCATGATTTTGAAAGATCCTTGTGAAAGGAGGCTTTTACGCGCACAGTTGCTCTCGCACCTTTGCGTGCCAGATCCAAATGACTGAAATGAGATCAATTAATCAATATCTGTAAATCTTGTTATCTGCGCATTTTTCGCATTTTTGTGGTAAACAACCGTTGGTAAAAGCCCCAAGGCGCGTTTTATAAGTCAAACATACAAGGTACACGGCAGTTTATACTTCTGTTCCTCGACTTTGTTGCTGCACTAAAGAAGAAAGGATAACTTGTCGAGCTGTCTTAAATAAAAAGTAAGTGCTTACAACCTATTTTGTAACACATTATTTGTATATTGAATGAATGAGCGCTAAGCAGTTTGATTACCACATGTAATAAATGTTTCAAGCTTTTTCAAATAACCTTACAAAAGGCTAAGTTAATCGGCTAAAGCGATGCAATGCTTGCTGTAATTTCGACTTTGAATAATTTTAATAACACCTCATCATTGGTCGCAATAAGCTTTTACGTGATAATGCCTAGTTTAACGTTTTGTTAAGAATGACAAAGCCGTTGAGAATACCCCTGGGACCACAAATTATTATATTCACACAGTCTTATATTTATTACACAGCTTTTGCGCAGCTTGCGCTACTGAAATGTCCTGATAACCGTAGTTTTGACAGATCCGGTGCCAAACATCGTAAATGCAGCGCATAGGAACACGCAATTTCACACTACGGTATATAAAATGTGAGCTTCATTAGTGAGTTAAGTTTCATTATGCCAACCAGTGAAGCTAGGATAAAATATAGAGATCTTTCATTTAAAATTAATGGTTTGAGCTATGATTATTCAACATGTGTATTATCCAAAATTTGTTATTTCAAATATTATTTAGGAAAAAAACATGGTGAAGGCATCCCCAAATGATAAAGCTATGGCCAAAAAAGAAACTACAGAGATCGAGATAGTAAGTATGAGTGTATACATGTGTAATTTATCGTTTTTACTTAAAAAGAATTCAACTACAGTGATTTAATATCAAGTATTGTTAATTCATTTTAGTGGCACAATGACATTAATTTGATGACCGTAAATGCACCACCAAAAGAGCCATCAAAATGTGCAATCAAATTATTGGACTTTCTATTTTCATCGGAAGAGCAGGAGCTCCAGGATGGAATACTATTCCAGTCGAAAGATCTCCAAAACCAGTACTAGATCCCAACAGGGTCACTAAATTGTTTGGTAAGAATAATATATGTGATTTGACTTCAAGAAAAATTAACTGGCAAGCTGTGAACAGATATATACAAACTTAAGACTAAGTTGCCACAGTATGTGTTAATTAAAAGTATATAGTTTTCTTTGCCAATGGCAATGTGTTTTGGGTAAACATTGAAATGAACTTAAATACAAAAAATAGACTTACTTTAACACAGTCTTTTTTTACGATATAGCTGTCCTCAACGCCAAGTATGGCGAAGAAAAAGTACAGAGAACAGTAAACACGCCAAATTATCGTGGATACGTGCAATCAAAATTCAAAAGTGCCGCGATATGCGAAGAAAAACAAAATCGAAGAACTTGCAATAACAATGGTGTCAATGCTAATATAATTCATAAAGTAAAGTATGAAACAACCTCCGAATAAAAGTTCCATCTTGAAACTCAATTCTTTAGAACAACATTATTAAGAACAGACAAGATTCCCTTTGTTTTCTCTCAAATATTGAGCAAGGTGGAACTTTCATTCGGACTTTATTTCAATCGCCATAGATATTGATAATATTTTACCAACATATTTATTGATCTAATTTACTACATTTACTATGCAAACTAAACCGGGTAAAAGCTTGAGTATTATAATTTGGATGAACTAATTTATTACAATTTAATAAAGACCGACACTGAATTTATGGCAATATTGTACACTTTTACGTTAGTTTGATAAATTCAATCAAAGTTATATCCAGAGTATAGTATATTTCATGTAGAGCCTCTTCATTCTGTATTTGCCATGTATTCTTGCGGAAATCTTGCCACGAACTTGGTAAAATCTTGTAGGGTCATGGCAAGATCTGGCTGGATTTTGGTAAGATATTGAAGGATCATGGCAAGATCTCGCAGGATTTTTGGTAAGATCTTGGAGGATCATGGCAAGATCTTGCTGGATTTCGGTAAGATCTTGGAGGATCATGGCAAGATCTGGCAGGATTTTTGGCAAGATCATGGCAAGATCTTGCTGGATTTTGGTAAGATCTTGGAGGATCATGGCAAGATCTTGCAGGATTTGTGGTAAGATCTTGGAGAATCATGGCAAGATCTTGCAGGATTTGTACCAAGATCATGCCAAGATGTTACATAAATCCTGCAAGATCATGGAAAGATCTTGCATGATCTTGCAAGATCTTTCCAAGTTCTTGCAGGATCTTACCTAAGATCTTGCAGGATCTTGCAAGATCTTTCCATGTTTTTGCAGGATCTTACCTAAGATCTTGCAAGATCTTGCCATTATCATGGCAAGATCTTGCAAGATCTTGCCATTATCATGGCAAGATCTTGCAGGATTTGTACCAAAATAATGGCAAGATCTTACATAAATACTGCAAGATTATGGAAAGATCTTGCAAGATCTTTCCAAGTTCTTGCAGGATCTTACCTAAGATCTTGCAAGATCTTTCCATGTTTTTGCAGGATCTTACGTACCTAAGATCTTGCAAGATCTTGCCATTATCATGGCAAGATCTTGCAGGATTTGTACCAAGATAATGGCAAGATCTTACATAAATCCTGCAAGATCATGGAAAGATCTTGCAAGATCATGCAAGATCTTTCCATGATCTTGCAGGATTTATGTAAGATCTTGGCATGATCTTGGTAAGATCTTGGGTAAGATCTTGTCAAGATCTTGCTGGGATCTTGGCAAGATTGTCAACCTGGGAAAGACCTCAGTATTTGATAACACAAACTTCAGGCTTGATAATCCTTCATATTGTGCACCAAGCTGTTTATCATGAGAATGACATTAAGCCATTATGCCAAATGCATGCTAATGCATCTAGGGATTATTCTAAGGTGCAGTGATAATTCCAATTTGTGCAGTGATAAATGAGATTTGTGCTGTGATAAATTAGATTATGTGCAGTGATAAAATGCGATATTGTTCAGTACCAGAAATTGGTGACTACTGCTTGTATACTAATTTGCATATAATCCACATGCAATGACTTTCAGTTTTTACTGGGAATGTACAGGGTGACAATATTTAACTCTAACTTAATTATTGCAACCTGAGAGCTCGGCTACTGTTTGCCGACCTCTTGATCAATAAAGCATTCATGCATTTACTGATGTTTCAGTGGCATATTTATTCCGATCGGGTATCTCTCCTAGCAGCCAAGTTGTGTTCAAGAAAATCACTTTTATGTCATCTTCGTTAGGTTAAGCTGCTGCCGAGCGATTTTGTTTTGAGATTATTGACATTGTTTTTTGACAACAGTTTATAGATTAATCTACTTCATGCAGAGTGTGAAAGACTAGATGATCTTGAGCAATATTGCTTGGTGTTTTGCATGCAATTCAAAAAATATGTGAAAATGTGTATATTTTGCATGAAATAGAATATGCAGAATGCAGATTTGGGCTCATTAGCGGTCATTTTAACTCATTTGCCTGCATAGTGACATGCATGGGGTAAACTTTAAAGTTGCAGAACCAGAGTACATATACTCATGCAGGGCAGTCAAAACGTTTAATTTCTAAAGTGTCACTAAATTTATATAAATTTTATTATTTTCGCGCTTTTGTGCAGTAATAAAATTTCCTTAGAATAATCCCTGAATGCATCTCACTTTGTTACTTGATAATTTCGGGCTTGATAATTCTTCATCTCATGCATAACCTCATTCAATAATTATTAATAATTCCACACACCTGACTCGAGATATTTTGCACATGTCTGTTTAAGAAGTGGTACAGGCAAACTTGGTAAAGTTTCTTCATATCTCAAAGTCTTCCCAACTATACTACGGATAATGTTTGACGTCATTTTCACAGCTGCAGTGTCACACACAAACCTCTTGGGACAGTGAGTAGTTAATGATGTTGAAACAGTCTACCAATGTTGTGAATACCATTGAATGTCATTTTCTGCAAACATATTGTACAATTTATTATACTTAATATACAGTGAAATACGTTTTGTTTTCTACAGCATGTGAGCTCTGCCACACCCACATTTTTTTCTACAGCATGTGAGCTCTGCCACATCAAACAAGATTCAGCAGATAGTGTGGCGTGATTTTTAGTTTATAAGCCTGGTAGGGCCTGTACGGATGGGGGGAATCTACGAGTTGTTGTATATTCATTCAGCAAAAATTGAGCTGTTTGGTATGGACCGAATATTTGAAAAGATCAATATTTTTTTCTCGAAATAAAATTCAACTTGCGTTGCTCAATCGTATTCAGTGCTGCGAGCCCTAATTTTGGCATTTGAGTATTGTACGTGATTTCTTATAATGATGAAAGGACTAGCTAGCTTAAAAAAGGGAATCAGGGAATCCATGATTTGGGGAATTTGGAAATCCAGATTCCCATACATGAAAATATATATAGTCAAGCACATAGTAAATGCAAGAATTTAAAAGGATTGTAACAAATTAATGTATCAATCAATTTGAAACTTAACCACACCCCTTCCCTGACTTCAAGTCTTCTCCAGGGAGTAGGGAATTTGACGTTCTAGATCTTCCATGTGGTGGGGCATTTGATAACGGGGTGGGGAATTTGAACCGGAAGTCTTAACATTTTGCCCATTTTCGCATGCTTCCTGCATGCACAGGCAAATACAGTCTTGAAGTTCTCAGATTTCGAGGGGAACGGCCTTAATTTTGTGAAAAACAGTGGCTCAAAGAAACGGGCATGGAAAATCTATGTGCTTCATTTGAAGGTATGTACTACATAATTGTGTAAAACTGTTAAATTTCCACAAGGTATCCAAACTTTTTACATGAATTTCACTGTCTTGTCGAAAAACATTTCCATATATTTTGTACTTTTTGTATTCACTGTTTCATAATTTTCATATGAAGGTGGGGCATTTGAATGCTTAATTTCTTGTTACAATGGGGCATTAGAAGACATTTTTTGCACAGGGGGTGGAGAATTTGATCAGTCAAATTTCAAAAAGTTCAAATTCCCGGGGTCGGCCCGGGCGGGGGGGGGATGGTGAAGTTTTGAATTGATCGATACATAACTGAGACAATAATACTGTATCACATCAACTTATTGCTGACCAATTAAATCTCTCCCCGGAAGAGCCTGGGAACGAATAGAGACAAACAGAAGATCGACTTCTTGGTTTTTCCTATGATTTTGGCGTAACTGTAATTTGTCATCAAAATGCGGACACCATGGTCCTAGCCAGTGCACTTATAAGAGACATTCACCCTCCTCTGATAATATTCAAAATAAGGGACGTCCAGGGGGTGAATGCCTCTCATAAACACATTTTGATGAAGAATCATGGCGTGGCAGCAGTTGCACTTTTTTGAGTTGACCTTCTGCGTGTCTTTTTTCTGTGGCCTGGGTATGAAGTTGGCAAATGGTTTTAAAAATCTTGATGGATATGG